TCGCATCCCAGATCTTGACTGTGCTGTCACTTGACGCCGACGCCAGCCGTGTTGAGTCGTGAGAGAAGGCAACTGACCGGACTGAATTGCTATGGCCCTCAAGCGTCTGCAGGCACGCACTCCATTGTTCGCCTATAGCGGGCTGTATTATGATTATTTTTGGCTCTTTATGCTTAAAATAGCTCCTTATTAGGCTGCGAGCTGGACTAAACAGAAGTGCAGACGCGTATGCCTGAAGAGGACTATTCTCTAGTGCCACCTTATGATACATAATAAATCGGCGCGCATCTTGAACTAGTTCAAGCAATCTGCATGCGTCTACTCTTTTCTATATTATATTAGCATATGCTATACATATAAGACTGGACTTAGGATTACTTGGAGAAGAGACTCAAGTTTTGCTATTAACACCACCCCGTCCGATATGCTTCTGCAAAGGCTTAGAGCCTCAAGCCAGTAAAGGAAGCTCTGACACAGGAACTTGTTGATGGATCCACCATCTCGGAGATCATTATTAGCATTCTTAGTGAGATCACAGTTAAGCAGGTGGTCAATCCAATAGACACACGCATATCGTGCTGGGGAAAGTGGATCCAAAGTAGGTTGCTTGACTTGGTCCACATCTGGTTTCTTGACTTGGTCCATATCAGGGACTTGGTTAATGGGGAATCCGGGATCACCTAGGCCGTAGATGTCACGTCGTAGTTTCTTGGACATGACCTGTAGCGACCGGGAGAAGATGTCGTAATGTATGCATTCTATCCCAGGAGGATAGATATCATTGTAAGCCTTTTCAACCAAAAAGTCCTTTGCTGACTGATGAACGAAAGATATAGTGCATTCTTGAAGTGTCAGAAAAGAGCCACAAAGGCTTATGATCTCCGATAGAACTTGGTGTTCGTTGGCGACTCCGTCGGGCATGTTAACAAAAGACGCCAGCTCGTCCAGCGTGATGGGCCGGTACACAGCCGAAACGACAGCTAGTATACGTTTACAGAGTTCTGAACCCTTAATCTGGTCTATCATCCGCCAGTAGAGGGCATCGAGTCCTGGCGGAAACTCTTTTAACTTCTGCTGAGCTTCCCATCCCGAGATATTGGATAGTCCTTGGCAGACCAAGGCCACCCAGAGGAACGTGCCGTTTGCGTTTAGCGACAAGTAGCGCTGGACAGCGTCTTGAGTATTTCTGCTGTATCTGTTTCGCTTCGCAAGCCAATCTACCTTGACCTTAATGAATGTCGAAACAGCAGCAGAGATAGACCTTTCATTAAGCTCAAGGCGCAATCTCAGTTTGTGCGTCGCAGTGTCGAGATCCTTCTCAATTCTTGGCCAGTTTCGGCTAGAGACGATCCACTTAACACGAGGAGATACGGACGACTTCTTAACAATAAAGTCTAACAGTTTTGGCAAGTCTGCTTCCACGCATTCGTCCAGCGCATCGATGACCAAGTACGTGCTGTTCAAGCTCGGGTCTTGAAGGATATTTGTGAAAATCTCGGACAGGGCAGCCCAGCTATTCACGTCCTCAAAGAGGGTTTTGCCTGCGTGATCATGCTTCACCCGTATATACGAGAGAAGGAATGGCTGCTGTTCAACAAGCAAGAACAGCAGACCTCGCAGCACGGCCGTGGCGTTGTTGATTCGCGAGTCCGTGGCCTGGCAGAAGAAGTAGGACAGAAGATCTGTTTGGGCCATTAAGCCCTTCAGCTCATCAACAATACCGCAGAGCAGCATCGTCTTGCCCTTGCCGGGATCGCCCTTAACCCACAGCAGTCGGCTCTGCTGATCGTCACGCCATTGTTGGAAGTCGGAGTTTTCGAGAATCCAGCAATAAGAGCCCTTCAGTAGTCCGCCTTTAGTGTATTCAATGCGCTTCTTATCATCACGGGGATCAGTGACGCGCAAGTGTTGGATGCATTCCTTGTCTTCTTTCTTGCTGTCAGGTCCGGGAGATGGCACTACTAAAGTTATTATCTGAAAAGCTTAAATAAATGAGAATGATATATTGTCGCTTGATGTTACAGAAACAATAAGTGCGAATGCTACGTACGGAAACGAGCTGCAACCACGTCTGGAGCATCACGCTCAAATTGTAACAACTTGTCCCGCGCGCTAGTATAGCCACGGTCCCCCTTAGCATCAAACTTAACAATCATCGAATGGTCGGCGTCTAGGGGAATCTTGTCCTCTTTTGAGTCTGGTAGCTGGAGAAGAGTAGAGTTAGTATCCACGGCCATGACAAAGCCGCCTGTCCGCTTCCAGCATTTGCTTTCGTCATCCTGTTGCGAACGCATCAGCGTGCTTCTAGGCTATACCTGTACTAGAGGATCATACAAACTCAAGCTGCCTAGTCTGTCCCGTCTCATAGAAACTTACGACCTTTCGGTCCCGGATAAGATTCTTAAAATCCGCCAGCTGTTGCGCGAGCAAATCAGAGTTGATTCGGATCTGCTCCAGCAGCTTGCCCCGCGGGTGCTTGTCCTGTCCAGCCAGCATCTGCTGCATATCGTCCACCACTAGGCCCTTATGCGGGATCCCAAACAGAAGCATGCCGTATGTAGCTTTATAGAGAGACGCTATTGTTTGGTCGCCGTCTTCGTGTGTCTGCACTGCCTGAACCAGGCACTATTCTGCCGTTTAGCCTTAGGCATACATACGTCCCAGCGGAAGACCTACATGAGCTAGTATAATGCCGCCAAAGCTATGCGCGATGAAGAACAGCGGCTGCTTTCTTAGCTAGCGCGTCAAGCCGTTAGTTTCATATTCCCGCTTTTATGGCAGCACGTTGCTATAGGCCTACCTCCTCTGTGTTCCTAACCTTCTTAAGCTCCTCCATCAGTCCCCGGCTGTAGTCCATAATTGTGTCAATCCCGTAGCCCGACAGCTTCGAGTTGTAGCCGTAGATCATCGTGCGGCAGTGTGGCAGGTCCTTGGACACGAAGTCGCGTAGCCACATGCGCCCAAGGTTTCCCTTTCCCCTCCATGAGCCGTATGCGTGTCCGTCAAGGCCCGTGATAGCGATAATACTGCGCAGCAGGTTAGAGACAACAGACAAGGTTCCCTTGTAGGGAAATAATGCTTACTCAGCAGTAACTGGCGAGTCTGCCTTTGGCGTGTACAGCTGCGTGAACCCGAAGAAGTGCTGGTCGAAGTTGAGGTCGAAGTTGATGTCCTCGTCGCCCGTCTGAACCTGCCAGTCGCGCAGCGGGTTGTCCTTCAGCTCGGACAGGAATGCAGGCACTCCGCCGTGGAACTCGACCAGCGCGACTTTTTCCTTATTGTCGTAGCAAGAGGGCACAATTTCCGCATGGAAAGTTAGCTTCGATTGCTCATCTTCCGCCAAGTTGTCGTCGATAGTAGCCTTCAGCGACATCGCCAGGTCGTCGTCGGGCTGCGAGGCTGGCAGGCCTGTGACGCGGAAGACGGGACCCTTCCTCCTAGCGGCCATGCCGGTGAGGGAGTCTAGGTGTGAACGATCGAGTCGGTGAGCGGAAGGTTAGTTGCATTGTGGAGGCGGCGGAGGCGGCTATGCTGGTCTGTAGGCAAGGCTGAGCGCAGGATTGGCCGTGGGCGGCGTTGAGGCCTGGCCGCTTATCTATCGATAGCGACCGCACGTGCCATAGAATTCCAGCATCGGCCCGCGCTGCAAACGAGACCACCTATTTCCTATCTCCATTATTTAGTATCGGCGCCCGATACATTGGAACCTAATATATCTACGAATCAGTACTATCTCGCGTATACCCTACAACCAGGGCCAACCGCTTTGCCATTCATCTTTGGTTGTTATTTTTGACAAAACACCTGGCTAAGGCTCCTCTTCTAATAACTAAACATATCCGTGTTTAACCCAATACTATTTGCTACTACGTAATCTGTAATGGAGAGAGGGATAAGAAAGTTAGTAAAGCAAGGGAGCATGTAATCAGCTTCGACTAACACTTATGCTAGTAATTCATCTGCGAAAAAGTGTACACCACTAGTATCGAAAACCAACCCGCTTGACCCCGCCGCTCTAACATTGCATAACCCTGGAGTCTTGCATCCCGCAATAACCTTTAAAGGGAACAAAGTGTTGCGACCAAATAGAGAGCCATGGACTTCTCTAGCCCTCGAGTTGAAGACACTAAGACTTAACGACATTCATCAGCACCTATGGCTTGCAGGCCTCCCGACTGCTGCACGGCCTTTGCACAGACAAAAGCTGCTAGGACGCAATATTCTAGTTACTGAAGATCCAGATGAGCATCTTGTCTGGTTTGAATCGGATATTTTCATTAAGCCGTTGCCCGATTTCCTTCTTGACTGGAATTTCTGGAACGACAGTTTATGCCTAGATTAAGGGTTGCATGAAGCCGCATGCGGCTTGCTATTGTCCTATGCATGGCTCGTACGGCACAAAAGCAACCTTAATATCGCGAAAGAATCGGGTCTGCTATCGAAGAGTATGGAATGGTCCAAGTGGGTTGAGTTCATAGATGTCTTTCTGGACAACATAAACTGCGAGACCCTAAGCGACGTCAACAAACGGTATAAATATGGAGAACTGCGATTAAGTCGGCTTAATGCTATATACAGGCTTGCTCCACCTACGTATTCCCTTCGTAATCTTGTTCGAGGATATCGAAGCGGATCGACCTGGTACAGAGCCTTCTTTGAGCGCCACTTTAAATGGATACTGGCGGTTTTTGCTATTGTCTCTGTCCTCCTGTCGGCGCTACAGGTAGGCCTTGCAACCACAATGCTACAGGGCAATAGACTGTTCCAAAGTGCCTTATACGGATTTATTATAGCCTCCTTGGTAGCTATAGTAACAAGTGTGATTGTGGTCTTTTTAGTATGGCTGGGGTTGTTCTGTTATCACTTGTTAGTTACTTGGCGAAATAACAGAGCGGTAAACCGTAGGAGGCTGGCTGGAGTGTCCTTTCTATAGTCAAATTCTCGAAATTTTAGCTTAAGGGACATCGCCACCTGCATGTTCTAATAGGGCAGCATATGTTATAGGTATATCTGGAGGAAGACCTTGCGCTAGTACCTGGCTGGCTCGGTCTATATTGTAATGGAGGCACGAATAGGAGAGGCATAATAGACAGGCCGCAACAGACAGGTGGCAATAATAAACGGCCAAAAATAGCCAGCACGTGACCGTCTATAGATGTTTCTAGAAGAGCGCCATATATTAAGTTTGTTAGGTATAGCGTACTCCGTAGAATATAATACAACTAGCTGGATATCTAATACCGCGCTAAACGCTTATACTAAGATACGTTGCGGACCCCTTCGCGCGGACAAATCCGGAATATATCCTTTTAAGGGCTTAGTGCTCTTAAAGTTTAAAAATATCTTCTCTTATTCTAAAACTATTAATTTAGTGCTCCGAATTTTAAAAATTTATAAATAGTTGTAGTATAGCAGGGATACAGCGCTAATATAGTTCTTAATACTCTAAAAGGAACGATTAACAGTATAATTAAAGCAATGTATTTTTTTAGCTATATACTAACTTCCTAAGCAGAAATAGCTAAAGAATTATAATATACTAATTATAACTTAATAGAATCGCGAGGGGGAGAGTAAAATACCTAAATAATATATTTTGTGCGGTACAGGGGTGTAACGGGTCGTCTCTTCTATACCTTCTAAGTGTCTTACACTAAGGCAGGGTATAGGCAAGTCGTTGTCGGGGTGCAATAGTTTTTAAAAGGTAAGGCAATAATTAATTAAGGTTTAAGACGGGGTTATTACTTCTAATAGGTAATATTAAAGTCTTAAGTTAAACACAAGGTTCCTATCTATAAAAAGGAGCGTCCCTTTATACAAAAGCTCCGTCCTAAGAAAACCTCTTGCTTGTATAGCTCTCCGGGCTTATAGTCCTCGAGCGTCTCGAGCTTAACGAGCGCTCGCACGGCTCTATGCTTACTTCCCTTTGCGAGCCTGGCGAGCCATCACGTGACCCTGTCCTTATAATGTCCTACTCTTAGATTGTTCCTATCCACTAGCAGTCTATAGGGGAATCTAGGATCCCTATGCGTCCTACACGTAACCCTCTTAGTCCTGTAACTTAGTTCTGCATTATTAGTTTTATCTGCTTACTTATCTCCGCAAGTGCCTCTGCGCTCGGGTTATTTATATTACGGGTTGTAACACTCGCTCCCCCTTCTAAGGCTTTTGGCCCAAAAGTATTTCCGTGGTGGGGTCTCGGATAAGTAGCTGGCGATGCCCTATCTATTGGGCCGTTATTATGCTACTCTATTTCTTTCTTTATAATATCTAACGCCTTAAAAGCTAAGAAATAAGAAAGCTGTCTCGTGCTTGCTGATTGTATTGCCGCGTCTGGTTTGAAAGTTATGCCTTATTCCCGGTGCAAGTCTCGGGGTTTATTGTGTGTGGTTTCCACACCTAACTTAGATTGTTATGCCGCCTGCGTTCGGGCGCAACAATCGAACTGTAATATTGCTGGCATCTTAGTAGCTGCCTGTAAGTTGCTGTAGTTCACCGTTATATTTACTTATATTCTAACTGTCCCTTCTAGGGCGAAAGTTATCCCGCAATAAGGATAAACTTTGTTATAAGGAATTTAAGACCTGCGCAACTCTGTCTTCTCTATTAGAGGCTTAGAGAGCGGCTATAATAAAGCTTAATTATCTAGATTTTTAAAAGAAACTATTGCGTAAGCGTGGTAAGGAGATAATATATTATAGTTTCGAGACTCTAGAGGAGCTTAAGGAAGATAATTAGAAGGAGGCTAAGTAGAAAGAATAAGAGCGTATTAAGCAGGAAGGCTTACCTTCTGCCTTAAGAACTGTCGGGTATCCTTCTTTCTTCCTAGGTGTGCTGGGCACTGCCAGCCGTCTGTTCTATTGCCATGCATCCTAATTATATAGCAGTAGCATTTCTTTTTCGGGTTCCTTTAATTCTTCCTAGTTAGACAGTGCGCTGTCGCCGTCTTTCTGGGCTGTTCCGGATTCTGGCGGTGAAACTGCTGCAGGAGTTCCTAATAGTTTGCTAAACTCTTAACCGGTTCCTATATATTCTCGGAGGTGCTATATCCTTTCTACTTAATTAGGTACTCTATTTACTAACTGTGCTATTAGGAATCTAGGATTTGCTCGACCTTATATTTATTATTGTTGTTGACCTCTATATTATTTTCTAGCTTAGCATTCGGTGGTGCGGGTTCTAGTAGTAATACGTGGAAGACCGGGTGTATTTTTATCCTGTTGGGTAGCCTAAGCTTATAGTTTACTAGGCTGATAACGTTCTATATTTCGAATAGTCTAATCTTAATATAGTCTAACTTTATGCTTAGTTATTTTATTTTAATATTTTTGCAGAGTAGGTAGACTCTATCTCCCCTTTTAAAGGTTAGTACAACACCCCAGTATTAGTTATAATATCTTACTAACCTTAGTATTAGGAATTAGATGTTTATTAAGAGCTGCCTTTATAGCTCTTTAATATTTTCGACTAATAGCAGTGCCCTTTAGGCCCTTATACTATTAAGTTAGGGTTTTTAATACGCCTTTAGATTAAAACTATAGTTTATAAAAAAGGGCAATACCTTTATTAATTCTATAGATATACTATTATAGGCGAACTAGGCTATTAGTAGTAGTAATACCTAATTATCCTGCCTGTAATTAATATAGTATTATAGGTACTATTCTAAAGTCTAATTAAGCCTTTCTGTTTACCTATTTATCTAAAGGTAAAATGCTGTAGAAAGCTTATGCTTTATTCCTAGTTGCGTAGTAAAGGTCTGCCAGAATTTCGATGTAAAAAGCTTATCTTTATCCAAAATTATCTCCTAGAGTAGCCTATAGTTGCTAATAACGTGCTTTAAAAAAGCGTAGGCTAGATCTTCTGCCGTTAATACTTTTTAGTATAGGATAAAGTATATATATTTAGTTAGTCGGTCTATAACTACTAATATTACGTTATACTTTATACTTATTATAGGTTTAATAGACTATAGTAGCTTAACTATAAAGTCCTATATAATAGATTTCTATACCCTTTCTAGTATATAAGGACTTTTTATTAGTTTATATAGTGCGTGTTATACTAACTTATTTTTTACGCACTTATATTTATATACAATTTTCTCCGTTAGTTTCCGGAGTTTAGGGAAGTAGAATATCCTTATAATTTTTTCCCGTGTTTTTTCTACTCCCTAGTGCCTATACACCGGTATACTATAGAATTCCTTAATAAGCTCTTTTTATAAGGTTCTGGGCACAAATATTTTATCCTGTAAGGTAATAATACCGTCCTAGATTTCTCCGCGTTTTTAGTTTATAGGTTCTGGGCGCAAACTTTGCTAGTTATAACCTGCTAAATCCCGGCTTTTTTAATCTACCTTCTATACTACCTTAATTTATCTATACTACTTATTATTCTTAGACCTATAAGCAGCTGCTGCTTATATATAGTTAAATTTAAGGGTTCCTAGGCTTTTTTCCCTAAATATAGATTACCTGGTTTTTCTAGCTTTTTCTATATAGTCTGGCCTTCTGCTAAATACGTCTGCACGAGCGTTTTTAGATCCTTTTTAGTACGTGATCCTAAAATCGAAGGTTCCTAGTTTTTCTAACTATCTTACTTATCTTCTATTTAACTTCTTAGTTATAGTAAAGTATATTAGATTTTTATAGTTTATATACACCTGTATTATATATACTGCTTCTTTAAAATAAACTTTCCACTAACTAAATACTTCTACTATAGCTAGCAGTTCCTTATTATAGATATTATAGTTTAGCTTAGCTAGGCTTAGCTTCTATAAGTAAAATGCTATAGGATATAACTTCCTTTATTTGTTTAGTTAGTTAAGTATCGCTTCTAATACTTTATCCAACGCATTACTTTTAATAGTAACTAGTTTCTGTGGATTAAAGATTGCTAATACTAGTTTTAAAGCAAACTATGCCTTTAGTTTATTAAATACGCTCTGCGCGTCTAGGGTCTATCTATATTTAATATCCTTTTTAGTAAGTTCTATTAGTGGTTCCGCAATTTTTAAGTAGCTTTTAATAAACTATCTATAATAGTTGGCTAGCCCTAGGAATAACTATAGTTCCTTTAAATTTACGGGCTCTGGCTATTCCTGGATAAAGAACACTTTGCCTTTTTCTATCTCGATCTGTCCTGGACTAATAATATATCCTAGGAATCCGACTCTCTGTTTATAGAACTCGCACTTATCCGGGTTTACTATAAGGTTGTATTTTTTAAGTTTTTTAAGTACCTTCCGTATATATATCTTATGTTCGCTTAGCGTTTCTAAGTATATAAGGATATTGTCGAGGTATACTACTGTAAACCGATTTAGGTAGCCTTTTAACGCTAAGTTAACTACTGCCTAGAATATTGCTGGTATATTAGTAAGCCCGAATAGTATTACTATATACTTAAAGTGTCTATATTAAGTTCTAAAAGCTGTCTTCTACTTTTCTCCTTCTCTTATCCTAATTAAATAGTACCCTTCGCGTAGGTCTATTTTTATAAAGTACTTAGCCTTATATAGTTAGTTTTTAAGTTTAGAGATTAAAGGTAATAGATAGCGGTTTTTAATTATAATCTTGTTTAGTTATCTATAGTCTATATAAAGGTGTAGCTTACTATTTAGTTTTAGAACAAATATTATAGGGTAACCTGCAGGCAATTCTAATAGTCTAATAAATCCTTGCTTTAGGTTCTTTTCTAGGTATTTTTCCAGCACTTCCAGCTCGCTCTAGGCTAGTAAGTAGATTAGTTTAAACTGCGGTTATTCGCCTAGTACTAGGGGAATATAGTAATCCTAAGGTTAGTGCTTTAGTAATATATTCTAAACCTTTTCTATAAAGATTTCTTTAAATTTATTATATTTTTCTAGCACAACTAGTACTTTTGCTGCCTTGGCTAGCTGCCGGCTGCTTAGGGGTCTAGGCTACTATTAGCTTGCTGCCCTATTTTC